GGCGAAACTACTATGCAGCCCAAGTTCAAAGCTTGAATTTCGTCGTAATATTGCGCATACACCTCACTGATGGGTGCTGACTGAATCTAAATCAACTTAAAAGTCACCTACTGGTTGCTCCTAATATATTTACATAATACCGTTGATGAATTGAACACAAACAATATATAATAATTTAAATTCTGCATGGGCTAAATATGTTGTGTCCTCATAAAAATCTACACGATTGTTTTAACCGTTTAACTGTATCCGTATACTTAAAAAGTGTGTTCATATTGTTTAGTAACTCAAACCTCACGTCCCAATGACATATTACTATTAACATTACAAGTATTATATATATATATATATGGGCGGACATCTGAATATAAATCAATAAAACGTTTGTTAAATAAAACATTCACATTACATTTCTATGAAGTCTGGTTAATACTTCACTTTAAATATCTGATACATAAGTACCACTTACTATTTCTCATATTTCTAACTAGCTTACGTCATTAAACTGCTATACATGGAATTTCAGTGCATTCAAGGTAGTATACTGTTGATGTAACATTTTACGAACAGAAATAAAAGCGATTACTTTTAAAGCCTTTCATTGTAAACCAACAATATGTACTCACAAATGAAAAGCTTTCATGATAATTACAACACAAAAATACAAAATTATACAAACCACAACTCTTTTCTGACAGACATAAAAAATAAATTGATTGGGTTTTTATAAAATAATGAATAAAGATTTCTATTGTCTGTTAAGAAATACCTCTAAAAAAGATAAGGTAGTCAATTGAGTCTACCCTTTTTTTAAGATAATATTTATAAGAATACCGGAAGTTAACTGCATTGTGTTGCTGGCGAAACATATTTTATAATGATATCAGCATTGTCTTAGCTGAATAATTTGTGATAATCAGACAGTAGAAACATATTTCGTACTATTTCTATAAAATGACGAATGTTTTGCCAAGATTTTCCCTGATAAGATGGTTGAAAGTGACGAGCTTGGAAATTTGGACATGTCTTTCGACAACTCAGTACATTTTTAACATGAATAGAGGAGATTTCCTTTGCTAGATTTCAAGGCATGTAAACATTTAACCCTAACGGAAAGCTAGTCCTGTCCATTCAGCGCAGTGGTAACGTATACTGATGTACACATAAATGACAAGTGTTTGGATGCTGTGGAGTGGATCTGTTATGAAGAGACTAGCAAGCAATATAATTCCAAGTTTTCTTCAAGATTGTCTTAAGGCACTTATTTTCAAATAAAGAGCCCCATAATTTCTAATGGCTATGTTAGAAGGATAACTTGCAATGTGATTGATGGAACTATATCAGCATCAGGGACTCAATAACTGTAAATTGGTTAATGATCGCTAATTCTCATAAACACTACACGTTTTTAAAACGTATGGTGAATGTTGTTAACACAAACTGGTTTCGTGTTACACAACACTCAATTTTCTTAATTTCAACTGACTGATACCAATGACTTCTAGATATATATTTTAGTGCGATTGTGTTGCGTATAAGCTAAACATAGTAATGATAATCAGTGTCCATTCATATTGTAGAAACGACTACAAATATTAGACAGCGGTAAATTACAAATATCAACCCATTATCTACATATGGTAACCTTGGACTACAAAATCGTTCATCTAAATGACTGACCGTTCTAGAACTGTAAAAGCTAACATTTTATATGTGCTGTATGTCGATTCATTGACAGAACTACCTATATCTGAACTGAAATTCTAATCAGAAATAATTTATACCATATCAAAAATTACATACAAACCCTTAAATATCGTTTGAAATTACGTAAATGGAGAATCTTTTTTCCACCATAACTCACTTTCGATAAATAAAATATCTATTTTGTTTGTATTATTCTATATTTAATCTGAAGACCGTATACATCTTAATCACTGAGTATTTCATACACAGTAAATCATCAATAAATCGAAACCAGCAGTTTTTAAAACGCTTTAGGGTTACAATGTAATGAAAATATAAATTCATCATTTGATAATTTAAATATAAGTAGTTCGTTTTTCGATTGAAATTCAACACTGTGATTATTTATGGTCGACACTAAGCTTTAATACAGGTTTACTTTTTTTAAAAGCTTTAGGAGGATTTTATTTTGAGTGTCTAACATTTAACAAAGTTTACAATTTAGAATTTCGGAAACCAACTTATTCAGAGTTTCCACAATAAATAATAAAAAAAATTTCCCTCATACAATTTGCTGATTCCTTTTTAAAACATCTGTTTCTAAACATTCTTAATTGAAATTTTTAAATTCAAATGCAATTTACTCAAGTTGTTTAGGGGATAACACCAACAATATGCTTTTCTACTTTCGTCCAGGATTATGAAATCGGTGCTCTATATCCTCCAGTTTAGCTTTACACCAACTGCGATTATCGAATAATGTAAGGATTAGAATGCTCACCTGATCACAGAGATCTGCAGGTCGGGCCTCGATTTCTAATTTGAACATTCGCATCAAAGGGACAGCAAAATTAAAACTAAGAGGAAGTGTTTCCTTTTCATTAGCGGACAATACAATGAAGACAAATTATTGACGTACTTAACTGGAAACGAATTAACATGATTATCATTACTGTAAAATGTTTGAGGCTTTTTTTCCGATTTCTTCCTTTGTTTTTGACAGTACTGCAAAACTGATGAATTCAATATGGCAGACGATAGATATTTCTTTGAATATAGGCAATGTTTGAGTATGTAATTCAATTAAATTGATCAGTTTGTCTTGACAACCATTTATATTGGATTTCATCAGTAGAATAAGATTTAAGATGTTCGGGTGCAATTTACTTGAACGCAAATTTTCATATAATTGATTTGGGAATATGTGACTCAACAAACAAGATTTATAAAAATTCAGTTTCGTTCATTTCGATAAAATGTTTCACTAAAAGTTAACAAGTTCATCTAACCTTTGATTAATGTGTGTGAAGAGATTTCTTTTGAGAAATTTAATCCAATTAGCCCCTTCGATAAATTTGTATGATGTAATCAGAAGACAAAGATAATCAGAATTATGTTATCAATTAAAGATAGTTTCACTATTACTAGCCGAATCCATTTACTAAATCTTCAAATTATAACGGTGTAAATAGATATTAGACACTTGGACCAACTATTTTTTGTTTCTTGACACAACTTTTCTCTAAGTATTACATTAAAAAGAAAGATTTGCACTTTCTGTGGAGTTACGAGTGTTAACATGTCTTACACGTAAGCAGTTTTTCGATCCTTATTTTAGGCGAGTATTCTATCTAACCTAAGTAATCATCCTAATTCTAACACGTAGTCGACTAATTTTCATACAAATTAATGTGATATATAACAGTTAATCTTGGTATAAGGTAGTTTGATTATTTAAGCTAAGATGTAAAGTGTTTTCTGCTAGATATAAAGCTGATAATAATTAAGTTACTGTAAGTAAATTAACGGCATCATCTAAGGATGTGAATCTGTGTTGAAATGAACTTAACCGATAGTTTAGAAAATTCACACAGTTCGTTCCCTTCATGAATTTGAATGAAACAAAAACAACATTTGAAACAGCATAATTCAATTTCATTTTAATACCGTGGTTCTTCATCAGTTGTTTATAACTGATAATATTGATTCTGTAATAATTAGAGAGAATTCGAAGAGTTTACACAAAAAATTAACGAAATTGTTTTATGAAAAGATAATTAGAAAGTTGCTGAAATAAATAGCATAGTGAAGATTCCCTAACAAAATTTAAACAATATTAATGATAACAGTTGGATACAATTTTAATCAGAATTATGAATTTATCATGAAAGAGGTAAACTAACAACTTCATTTTGAGTTAAGATGGATAGTGGCTAGCAGTGGAGTCCAGGATGCGCGTTTCGTCCTATTTCCAACTCGTCAGCCGGATGTACCTGCATCTCAGAGTTGATGTTCACTCTAAGACTCGAACGCAATACCTTTCGCTTCAAACGCCATCGCGTTATCCACTCATCTACTGAGTCCTGATAGCCACTTGCTTATGCAATGGGGTGAAGTTTAAATTCACTTGGTATTGTTTGACTGACCAGTTGCAGTCCTAAACATTAATGGGAAGATTCAAACAAGTAATACTAAGTGAATTCATTTTGAGTTGTTTACAAAAGTTATTTAGAAGACGGATTTATTCATCAAAAGTCCTTAAAATTTTCACTTTATAATAGTTTTATTCAAAATTTTTGAGATTGTTTTAATAAGTAGTAGTAAAATCACCTCTTGGCAATATACGTGACTAAGTTCAACACAAATAGAAATGTATAAAGTGATTTCAAATAGTAAGACATCTGGCATCTTTATCATAAACTTGTACCTAAAATTCAGATACTGTCCACAACTGTTTTTTTAATGATTTGCGCTGCTTAAAGAAGTTGAAATTTTGTAAAATACAAACATTGAAAATAGCTTTATCGTTTCACGTGAGTATATATATATATATATATATATATATATATATATATATATATATATATCTGCGATTATTTATTAACTATAGTGATTTTTGGAGAGAAGTAGAATATTTCCTAACACTTTATCAGCTCTCTAAAACTACTAAATTCCAGTGGCTTTGGGCGGTTGTTCAATCATGGATTAGATATGCTCAATCACAAATGATTATTTTATAAATATCAAATCATATAGAAGCAGAGTATATGCAAAATATGAATAAGTAGACGGACCAATAATCTCAACGACAACTTGGTAAATTTTACCAATAATTGGAAAGCTCTATGTAAGATAAATAACTTTCATCACTTTGATTTAATAAAACTGTGAGTAAGTTGTGTGAAATCTAAGTTATATATGGATGGTAAATTCAATAAATCATTCATTGGTCAAGTTTCTTACATAACTGTATTTTTTAAATATCGAAAAGAACAGTGTTTAATAAAATGGATCTCTGTTATATCCGTTTGTAGATTTTCTTCAAACGTAACAATGTTCAGAGTAAAAGAAGGTGACAATATAGTTTTCGTATGTCCTAGTGATGTGAGAAGAAGTCAAAAATTATTTTGGGTAAGTTATATTTACACCTGAAAGACCCCGAAATGTTTCGATTTGATTATTTCGTAACTTAAAATTTTTACTTTCTTATCAAAGATCAATCGCGAACAGATAATCTATATTCATTGAAATGATGTCTGCTATAACCTTAATGGCTACCTACATTTTGGACATATTATTCTTTTGTTATGTGTTTTTAAGGTCATAGATAAATCAAATATACTCGTTACTCATATCATGCCTCTGTCTCTAGCAAAGATGATAAAAACTCGTTTTGGGTACATTGAGGTAAATACAGTCGTAGGAGTATAAATGTCGCATAGATTAGATGTGTTTAATTATGACTGCAGTATAAATGATGGTATGCTGAGGGTAAAATACATTAGTTCCATGACAAACCGCAACGCAGTAATCCCTTCTGTACGTAGTGAGTGAAATCCGGTAGTTTGCTAATTATTCATTTTATATATGTAATAATGTACATTTAGTCTTCCTGTTTGCATTTCACCATACATAAATCAATTTACTTCAAATTTACTCAAATAAACTGTAAATTTGAACATCGCTTTCTTATCACTTGTTTCTTTTTCCCTTTATAAGAAATTCTTGATACAAGTAAAATTCCTTTTTCCCTCACACAATAATAAAGCTGTCACGATAAACTCAATATGAAACACACCCTAGATTATAATATTTTCACACGTTTTTTAGCGCTTCTAAATAAAGGATCATAGCCCTACATCATATTTAACTATCTTGCTCAGAAGTCTTAATGTTCAATAATATCAATGATAATGAAAAAATATTAAGAGAAATAAGTTTACTGATATAGACGGAAATGTTATTTTAATAAACTAAGTCTATAATACGGATAGATAGACATCATATTCACAGTTGACTAGTCATTGAGTTGGGCAGCAGTCCTTTTATGGCGACGGACTTCTATCGATCATGTTGTGGTGTGATCAGTTGTCTGTATAACTCGAAATTATGTGAAATGTGTCGAGATGTCAGGAGGTCTTACGTAATTTAAATTAAATACAGTACCCAGGTTTCATGCTAGTTAGCACTAGTTATCAAATAGTCTATGTAATCTGGAAGGAACTTGTGTTTCCTATGGGACTCGATCTTTTTATTCATTCCTTCTGTTATACCGAACTCATAGAATGTGACAAACTAAGATGTTTTGCAAGCTTCAAAATCATCAATGAAGTAACAAACAAGCTTTATCCAAAACGTTTTGTTTGTTTCAATGGAACAGTACTAAATATAAGATTGTTAGTTTTCAGTGATGATTCTTGTTCACCTCTTAAATTACTTCTCTTCCAGCAGATAGATAGTAAATTTTAATTTTACAACATATTTTCAGTCTACTCATCATATTATGTCAATATTAATTTAATGTATTAGGTATAGGATAGACATGTGGAACACATACTCCCAAATAATATCAGGAAAAATATCAACTGAGCAATAAATAGAATAGTTACGTTCATGTAAATAACGACTCAGTCAGTCGACATCTGTTATTTGAAAATACCTTTAAGTGTTTTATTACCGTAATATGTTATTTAGTTTTCACTTCCAAATAGCCTGGTATGTTGCTTCTTCATAAAAACGTATTTTAGAGCTAATTCATTTAAAATAGGTATTATTGACTGTTTATTGAAGATTCAATAATTAAACGGATTATATCTGGTCAGAAATAACTATATTTTCAATTTGTCTGGATAATATCAATGCTCTGGCTAATATTCAGTAGAATCATTGACTTTAGTTTTATCATTCTGAATAATGTGTATTATATTTTTCATCCTATATTGTAGACAATGAGCAAAGAAACGTACGATGAATGTGGCGCACCCAGCTCGTCTCAAACTGTGAAGCTGTTAGATTGCAGTCAAAGCCCCAAAAATACAGAGTTCATTTTAAAAGTAGCACAGTTTTCAGAAATTCCTTATTCTCCACATTTTCGAGAAAACGATTTTGTTTACTTTTTAGGTAAGTTTTTTATATGTGACATTTAGTGATCTGGGTTTCTAAACAAATTCTGGTTATAATTCAGCATTTTCGAAAGTAAACTTATCATTCTTATGAGTTATTCATGCATCATGAAACCTAAATGATAATTATTTTTGACAGATATAATGATCAGAGACCTTTTGTAGTCACTCTAATCAGGGAAGTAATAAGGTACAAATCCTAATGGAGTGTAATACAAAATCAGAGACATATGGTAATAAATATCAGTTGACAAAGAAGAACGATAAAGAAAAACTACGTTAAATACATTGTCAGGAGTCAAGTCAATCTAAATAAATGCTGAATACACATTTTAAATAAAAATAATATATTTGTAATATCCCAACAAGTAGAAAAATTAGATTTTCTGACATTTCGTGACTCAGTGTAAGCCACTTCTTCAGTGAACAAATAACTGAATTAAATTAACCCAAGTGTAAATAATGTTTAATTTGGTTATTTATTCTGTGAAGAAGCGGCTTACATTTGAGTCACGAAACGTCAGAAAATCTAATTTTTCATCTCATTGGGATATTACAAATATATTAATTTATTTATAACAATCTACCGAATGCTCAATTTATTCGAAATTATCAAGTTAAATCTTGGTAATAATACTTAGTAAATAAACGATTATATATAACGTTTTTCTAAATGTTTATCAATAGAATAAATTTTTAATTAATTGTACAATACTACTAGGGGCTTCTTCTCATGCTTACATTGATGGTTTCGATTCAGAAAATAGTGGAAGTTTCTTGATGAACTTCTTTAACTCAGTAATTTCGACATCTAACCAATCATATCCACCTTAAAACGTTTAATTATCAAACATAGAAGTGAACAATTAAAATGTTGATAAATACAATATTTTAACTAGCGTTATTTGAATCTGATTCTCATATAACAGATAAACAAAGTACAATGTTTCATTTTTTCCTTGCAATCAATTCAAATGTAAATGCTTCATCATTTTTACTGGTAGCCACCTCAAAGATCATGAATATGACTAATGGATAGGTAAAAGTAGGAGCCGATAGATATTTACTTCACACAATTTCTGATAATTGATATTATAAACACCATGAAACTATTTAGTATCATAACATGGTTTTCCTCGCCTTTATAGAAAGCATTTCCTCTAAATTTTATTCATGAAGCTACACATTTTAAACTGTTTTGGTATAAATGTATACGATCAGTAAGTTGAAGAATGTGTTCTGAAACATATCTAGTAGGGTCCAATTAAAAATTCTTAATCATCATGTACTTCATAAGAGATGTATTCAAAGTTGAATGAATAGTGAAATCAATAACGAATTATAGACGAAACAACTAGGTATAAGTAGGTATCTTTATATTATCTATTACTAAAAAGTTAAGATTTATTATTTTACACAAATTACAGTCAATAAAATGTAAAAAGAGAATGGCACCAAACTTAGTAAATGTACAGATCCTTTTTCAATTAATTACAATTTACGCCTCTGTCCACCATTGTCTTCAGTGAGTTACCACCTCACAACAGACCCGACTGAACTCCACAGGTTATGGCTCCTCACTAGAACTTCAGGAAATACCTCTTGAGGCCAATCACTAGTGAGCACATAGGGATTATTATTAGGATGCCGGCTCAGTAGTCTAGAGGTTGGGCACTCGTACGCGAGGTCTAAGGTCCTGGGTTCCAATACCCTGAGTGGGGTCCTGGATGCGCACTGTTGTGGAGTCCCATATTGGGACGATTCGGCCGTCTAGTACTCCCAGGTTTTCCATGGTAGTCTAGCTGTAATCGGCTCATGAACTCAACTATTAAATTACTACAATCTTCACAAAACCTTCCTTATAAGAATTACAGTATGTCTATAAATTTCAAGTATAATGAAACAAATTATGATTTATATGCTTTTTTCTACGTTAACACAATCGATTTCTTTGTTTGTCTCTGTCTAATAAAAGCGATAAATATCTAAGTAATCCAAAATGTATTTTAATTGATTCATATAAAAAATCGTTTCAGATATTTTATTCATGAACATTGAAATGTAGAACAGTCCATTTTGTTTGGCTGTCAAATGAATTAAAAAGAAATACTGGGTTTCGTAGCTGATTTGCGTACTTCACCTGAAATACTCGCAAATGTAATATAATCTATACCACAATTATTCAGTTCTTTGAAAGCTGCTTCACTTATTTTTTTAAAGACTGTCTTTCAACTATATACCTAGAAACTTAAATAGATGCTATCTTGCCATATAGTTGAAATGCTGTTGAATAGTGATATATTACTGAATATGTATCTGTTTTTCTCGTTTCAGGTCAGCATGATTTATGCTCGATTTACAATCTCCGTGTTGCTGTTAAACTAGTCCCAGATAAAAGTGTAAATAATAATGAAGGTAATGAAAGTGATTTTACGCTTATTCTGATGTAAACAAATGTGTAGTTAAGTTTCTGTTAACCATGAACAAGTGGATTCTTATTCTTTTGAAATATTCTTAATGCAATTTATTAGCTTCGTGTTATATGGTGTTTTATAATTTTACGGTTCAAAGCAATCTACCTTGTTACATAACAGATGGTTTAAAATATTATCTCTCTATCTACGGTATATTACTCTAAATTGGATACTTGAATGGTACACAATACAGAGACCAGATCACGTTATATCAGACACATGATTCACGACCAGAAAGAGGAAATCAAGGCGAATGCTCGGCGATACCTTATTCAACACAGTTACAATCAATCACTCAGTGAAATCCATACCTAGAAAGGAAACCACACATCTAATAGTCATTAGACTAAGTTATTGTTTGTAGGTATCATTATCAAGGTTTTACTTGATAATTTCGAATACATTTTGCATTGGGTAGACTGTTATAAATAAATGGTATATTTGGGATACCTCGTTGAGTAAAAAAATGCATTTTCTGACGTTACGTGACCCAATTTAAGCCGCTTCTTCACAGGATAAATAGCCAAATCAAAATTAATCCAATTTTAAGTAGTACAACGGAATAACACGAATATTATGTGATCGATCCAAAAACAGGTCTGAATAAATCAATGTCATGTCATTTCATTTCGGTCAAGGTGATTCATAAGCGACATGTATGTAAATTTGTGTGTGTATGTATGCACTGTTAATGATGAAAATGTGTGACCTTTTAATGACAAAAGATAGAGTTAATTTGTAATGTAATGGTGTTAATTGTAAATAATATCAGACTAGGTGGCCAGGATAGATAGTCCAAGTAGGATGTTTGGCAAAGCCTTCTTTTCTATTGAGAGAAGTAGGAATAAGCATTGTATGGAAAGCTTTAGCTACTCTCCTTTCTTTGTAATTGGAAACACTTTTTTGTAATATTTTGGTATTTTTGAAATCGGTTTGCTGCTCGTTGAATATGGTTTGAACTGCTATTGCCGATTTAACTTTAAGTCTTTTCAGTTCTACAGGATTATTAGATGGTTTCTTTGTGTACCTAATATGTTCTTTGGCTCGAATCATAATTTCGCGAGATCACTCTCCAAAATAGAAGCCATCACAATCGACACAACCTACTTTGTAGACGCAGTTCTGTGTTGACATGAAGGGGATTTTTTTCTTTTAAACGAACTAAAGTATTTCGAAGTGTGTTCGTTGTTTTGTAATATACTTTAATTCTATGTTGTTTTAAGATTCTTTGGAGTTCTTCCGTTGTGTCATGACGGTAAGGTAAAGCTGCAGTACCAATCCATGGTATTTCATTCGAATTATTATTACGTAATGAAACATCTTGTTTTAATATACTTCTAATAATCTTCATAGGGAAATTATTAAATTGTAAGAAACTGATTATATCCTTTTGCTCTTCTTGTTGATACTCTTCCGATGTGATAATCTTGTTTTCTCTTATAAGGTGATTGTTTGTCCATGGACAATGACCAGTGACACTTTACTCTCACCATCACACATCACCCTGCTTCTAGCATCTTTTAGGTGATTATTATCATTATCTTATATTAACTCTACAGTTCTCGATGCTATGTGAGATTACTCGATTCCGAGAGGAAATTAATTCCAAACACAAACATTATTATGGAAATGTGAGAATGTAATGTTTATTAATCATTTCCTAATCCTCGTTTATTTAAGTGCCAGATGCAAAACTGCTTATAAAAATAAGTTTTTAAGAAGGCCCATATGATTTATCCAGTAGTTAATGTGCTTTGGTTCTCATTGCATAGGAACTGTAAAATCAAACGGCGAAATATTTATGCTTTAATCTGTATTATCACTTATCTAAGTGAAATATCATTTTAAATACTCAGCTTTCCACTTAATTATTCTTCTACGTATATTTTGTAAGGGTATTAGATTAATATGAAATAGTTATTGTCAGCTCATAGATCGTTAGTAATTTTATTAAAGATATGGTTTACGGTAAAAACATGTAAAATTAAGTGTTCGCAAAACTAGTAAAGTAAATAGCATGCTATGGATTTGCAACCAGTTGATACTTAGTATATTTCATGTTCAAAAACTTATTTCTATAGCATTGAAACGAGATGAGCACTCCAATTAGACAATGACAAGCATGAAAAGTATATTCTTTGGATGATTGAGATATCTTATAGTATTTGAATAAGCCTTTTGCTTCTTTTGTATGTCTGAGGATTAATTTAGTTTCATGAGTTAACCAGTGTAGGTGATAAAAATTTCCGTTTATAAATTAAGATGATTAAAACGTTTTCTGACTAAAAGTGTGTAAAATAAAAACAAACTATTCAACACTCAACAGAAATTTGCTACTGCACATATAATCACATATGTATCCAAATCTAAAATCATCATTACAGCACTTCAGTTTGTTTTAGAAAGGATGTACGCCTTTCGAATACAACGAACCAAAATTTTGATCAGTTTGCGATAAGCTTTGAAAGACTTTTAAATTATGAATGAATCATCAATGTCGGTTCAGGAAATCACAAATAAATTCAATTAGATCCACTTACTTGATAATTAATCTTTCAGAATATTTACGTTCTGTCAAGTAATACGAGTTTTCTCTTTAATACTTATGATGCTGTAAAGCATTTTATAATATTGATCTCTGAATCGGTTGTTCAGAAAGCTCCTTGAAGCTTTTTTCCCATAGAGATTAACTCCTGCTAAAAACAACGATTCAAGTTTTACATTAGTGATTTTATTCCCTCAAAGGGTTACAAATGATTATTATGTTTGAAATACACTTTTTTGTAGGTTTGAAGGACTAGAATTCATTTGGTGAATTCCGCATTTGCTATTTGAGAGATAGTGATACTATTAAATAAATATATTTTTTTCGGATTTAATCATATCACTTATCTAATTATAGATTTATCTTTTACCATCTTAAACAGAGTTATCAACTTCAACACAGAAAATAAACAATTTAGTTGACGACAAAGATAAGTCTCCTAATACTGTAACCTCAGATACGTATAAATTAAATCCACACAGAACTGAAACATTATCAGCATGGACGCGTTATAGATTTCTTCTCATTCCAGGCTCACTTGGATTTCTCACATTAATTGGAATACAGGCTGTGATTTGTGCTTTATGGCATCCAAAGAAATCATCTCTATGTAGAATATGTTGTTCATCACATATAGTAAATAAATCAAATGATGGAACTAATGATACAAATGAAATGTCTACAACACCTATACAAATGTTAGAAAAATCATTTACAAGAAAACCATTTGAAAATCATCAATGTCAATCTATTCAAACAAATACATTAATAACTCAATCAACTTTAAGTGATCAATATAATAAAGGAGATTTTATCAATAATTCTAAACGTAATTCCGATATTGTTAACATTCTACATGATACATATACATTAGATAAAGGTATTCTAGAAAAGTCACCATCTACTATACAAGTCATTACAGATAATGAAGTATCCATTCTAACTATACCAACAACACAAACATCATTATCAAATAATAATAATAATAATAATGTACAGTTTTATACATGTCCATATCCTATTGATGGTAATTTAACATGTTTAGTTCCAGTGAAAGTAAATAAATCAACGGACATCTTTTCTACTGATATAGTCAATTTAGGAAGTGTTATTAATATATCTGTGTAATTTATTGTTTGGTTTTGTGTTTTCATTATTTTTGTTACTTTTTATGAAGAAAAAAATATTGAAAAAATAAACATTCATGTTCACTTTTGTTCATGTTTCAATATGAATAAGCTACTACTTTTATCTTTTATTAAAATGATTAATAAGATAATTTATATAAAGTGATAATTGTGTATAAAATTATGATAAACTATCATTTTGTTAAAAAAAATAAGAAGAATCGTTACTTACTCACTTACTTACTTACGCCTGTTACTCCCAATGGAGCATAGGCCGCCGAACAACATTCTCCAACCTACTCTGTCCTAGGCAAGAAGAATCGTACAGAAATTAATTTTCTGCGAGTATTAAGGTATCCTGAGTTCTATACCAATATGATGTGAAGCTGTTATAATCAATGTCTTTATATCCATTGTTTTCCATCAGCTCTATGTGATAAAACACATTAACAATTGTCGAAAAGTAATATTACTTCTAGCAAAAGACACCTTTTATAAAAAGAAGATATATTGCAGTTTTACTTTTGAAAAACCATACTTAGTGATCGTTGTCACGTTTTTAGGTTTAACTAAGTTATCACTATCTTTTCATCTTCGTTAAGAATTCATTAGTATTTCGGAAGCTAGTTCATTTTCAGAATATTTTCCTGACAAAACCTCAAGTTTTATATGGCATCATTTACCCATCGGGAGTTAAAACAACTAGCAATTACATACTTATAAATATTGTGAGTTTACGATTGGTTAAATAACACCAACCCTATGTAACAAGGCCGAAGACTTAAGTCTAAACACTAACTATTAAGTAATATATATCACTTATGTCTAAAATGAAAATTTATTAGAACGTCAGAATTTTGTTTAGCCAATAATAAACTTCGGAACTTGTGATTTATATCAGAGGTTTACATTCTACCTTCATAGAAGTAATTTAATTAAACAACCTACTTTTAACTTCAAACCAGAAGTACGATTTCTTACAAATCGTTTTCCAGAAAGTAATATGTAAGTCTTATCTATCCTTTTTATTACTTTAGAACATATATAAATCAAAACTAATTTCCTGGCATTCAAGTACTCGTCATACCAGTGAGAATATATATATGTATCTTTGCATCTATGACCATGATGCATGTGAGTTATGAGTATAATACATAACATTAAATTAGCATTGTTCACAAACCCGTTTTGTTTAAAATGAAATCGGATGAGTGAAAATGTCAACTGTTTCTAGTATGATAGCAGTTAACGAGAACAATTGATATGCAGGATTCAGAGAGTGTTTTTTGGAAAAAAATATTTCGAAAACAAACCAAACTATCTCATTGTTTTACCAATCATACATATAATGTACTAAAATATTCACCCGTTGTATAATCCTGTATAGTAACTCCACCTATATCTGCATAATTATACTTCAGCTGTTGTTTAAATTAGAGTATGTAAAGTACGAAACCAGTTAATTGACACATTCGTTTGAAATAATTTTGAATGGAGTGTTTATAAAATCATACAAAATAATTGAGCGATGATTCATTTGGCAAAATAAACACTTTCGTTGATAATTGACATATGTTATCGTAGATATTATTTAAACTTTACTGAATTTATTCTTTTGGAAGAAGATATATTTGTGAAAATATGAACAAGTGAGATAAAATACCTCTAACGTTTACCTTAGCACCTCAATCCTAGTGTATTCAGGGAAATAATCAAAAATGAAAATCAGAGGGGGGTTTTGTGGAGATTTAGTATTTTTCATAGTTTTAAAGCATGAGTCAATTGAAGCTAGACCACCATGGAAAACCTGGAAACACTGGACGGCCGTTTCGTCCTATTATGGGACTCCTCAGCAGTGCGCATCCACGAACCCGCTCGCGCGAGATTCGAACCCAGGACCTACCAGTTTCGAGCCGAAGCCCTTAACCGATAGACCACTGAGCTGGCATCAACGGTGTTAATGTCTGTTGTGAGATAGGAACTCACTGAAGACAATTGGTGAATGGTTGCTCAACTTCGTGGATCAGTTGAAGTTAGACATTAACACCGTTGGATGCCAGCTCAGTGGTCTATCGGTTAAGGGCTTCGGCTCGAAACTGGTAGGTCCTGGGTTCGAATCTCGCGCGAGCGGGTTCGTGGATGCGCACTGCTGAGGAGTCCCATAATAGGACGAAACGGCCGTCCAGTGTTTCCAGGTTTTCCATGGTGGTCTAGCTTCAATTGACTCATGCTTTAAAACTATGAAAAATGAAAATCTCTACATATAATCATGGTTACAAAATAATTATTTATCCAAACGGATGTTTTTAAAAATCAAAATAATGAATGTACCTTTTAATATGTAAATGTGAATCATAAGATGCAAAATGTGTTCAAATGGTAGTAAGGTAGGAAATGTATCTACGTGTATTTGCTTCTTACTCGAAAACCGATGACCGCATATAACCCTCATGTATGATCCTGATCAGCGTGATTATTCGGGTTCAAAAGTTTTTCCAATCATGTTCAAATGCATATTTTATGTATAGTAAGTTCATAGGATATTTAATCTGAAAATCGTTAAGTACGTAAAATATACATGAATGTATCTGTTTCTGCATGCTATTGTTATTAGAAAAGAGAGAATAAAATAATCCGATTGAAGGATATGTAAATTCAAATTCGTTGAAAAGCTTATTGTGATGTTCAATCAACGACTACAATAGATAACTGTGAACATAATCAGTACATTATTTACTTACTGACTTACGCCTGTTACCTCTCGCGGAGGAGCATAGGTCACCCACCAGCACTCTACATCCAACTCTGTCTTGAGAAATCCTGTCCAGTTCTTTCCGGTTGCTATTCATCTTTTTCATGCCTGCTTTCAATCCTCGACTCAGTGTGTTCTTTGGTCTTTCTTTTTCCCACTTTCCTTCATGATTACAAGTAAGCACTTGCTTCAGTGCTGATAATTTTCACAACGTGTGTCTTAGTCACTACCAACGTATTTTTCTAATTTCCTCTACATCTTGGAGCTCGTTTGTCTTCTCCCATAGTAGGATGTTGCTGATTATGTCCGGTCAACGGATATTGAGAATCTTGTATAGATAATTGTTAATCAATAATTATATCTTCTTCATGATGGCTATGGTAGTTCTCAAAGTTTCAATCTTGTACGTTAGAACTCTATTAACATTCGTATTGAAGATTCTGTCTTTGATATTGTTTGACAGTCGTTTTGAGTCCAATTGTACAAATGCTGAACTGGCTTTGCCAATTCTTGTTTTTACGTCTGCATCAGATCCTCCTTGTTCATTGATGATGCTGACCGTGTACGTGGAAGATTCCACATTTTCCAGAGTTTCGCGATGAAGTGTGGTTGAGTTAGTGTTTTCCATGTTGTATTTGAGGATGTTACTTTTTCTTTTGTGTACGTTGAGTCCTATTGATGCGGAGGCTGCTACTACACTGATTGTCTTGACCTGCATTTGTCCGTGTGTATGCGATAAAAGAGCTAGGTGAAGTCCAAATCTTCTAATTGATTCCGAGCTGTCCGTTGTGTTCCGTGCTTTCTCTTAGATGTGAAAGTCTTCGTAATTCAGTCAAACACCAGAAGAAAGAGAAAAGGGAGAATAGGCAGTCTTGTCTAAATATGGTCAACCGTCCTCTATAAGAGACTTTGCAGTGTAGTTCGTCGTATGAATTCCGGATGATGTTGACGATTTTCTCAGATACTCCATAGTGTCGAAGAAGCTTCCATAATATTCTCCGATCCACACTATCAAATGCTTTCCCATAATCAAAGTATTTGATGTATAGTGACGAATTCCATTTAATTGATTTTTTATCGTCGTTTTGCTATCATTGATGGGTGCATAATACTGGATAACATTCATTGTATTTCCCTCATTTTGTTTTGAAGGATGTTCTGATAATCCCGGACCCATGATATTCCCATCCTACAAGTGCATTACGTGCTTCTTTGGACAGCGACAGAGCAACTTCCTGAGTGTGTGGAGCATTTTCCTCTTCCTTACTGGAGTACTGCAGCATCTCTCCCGTACCTAACCTCTGCTGTCCAGTTTGGTTCCAATGAGTTGAACTGATTCAGAGAACCGTCAAGTTTTATATCCTCATTTCCGTTGCTATTTGACTGGTCCTCCAGGTCCCGACGTTCCGTGCATTTATATTAAATATTTCTCTGGTTGTTAGAGGCGGTATCAGCCTCGTGGCTTCCAAAGAATCTCGACTTTCATCCTGAGATGTCATAATTCTTCCTTCAGCTGAGAGAGTGGAGTTCAATTTCTTTATTTTAGTTAGCGTTTATTTTAGCAAGATTGTTTTATACTGGTTGTGTTTGTTGTTTCTACGCCCAACGCTCCTGCTTTATCCGGGCTTGAGACTGGTAGACTGGTAGAAGAGCTACAGGTGGAGCTAATCAATATGTTAATTCCGCTTTTTTCTTGCAATTAAGCCACAGCCTTTACAGATTGAATGGATAGAATTTTCACTAATATTCAAATCTACTTTATTAATCATTTGTACATTTCCTGTCAGTATTGTTGTATTTAGTATTTGTCAATCAAATGATTACGTTTTTAAACAATAAGTATCGGTGCAACTGGATAATCTCATTAAAATTTTTTCTCTTATTTACTTTAAATAAGGTTTTCGATAAATTGGTTTGATGACATTCTGATTGTAACTATCTACATCGTAATTATTATTTTATTAAAACTAATTTATTGTTTATTAAACACTGTTGGGAAACACTAGTATTAATAACTTACGCACATGTGAGTTTATCAAATGTATGTTTGTAAACCAAAGTTTACTACAACGTAAATAACACTATAATAACAGTGTTGTGCGTGTGTGCCCTGTTAATATATATGACGTGATGATCCCCGCCAATCAGAAAGGAGTGAATTATCGATCAGAGCCACGACACACGGAAACCGTATGAACAGCCTTGAGTACTTATCAGTCCCGCTATCTGCCTAGCCCAGCCAGTTAAGTCCTGAACACCAATAACAGCCTCTGAAATATGAATCATTATTCACAAACATACGGGGTTTATATACCAATCAAACAGACCACATCGTAACATGAAATAGAAAATAACATTTGTACAAGATTTGGCCAAATATGGCTGTGAATACTGGGAACAGTAATTAATGGACTAGGGATAA